CAAATGGTTCTTGAGAAGTAGATTTTTAAAGATTTACCCAAACAAAAAATTCAATATCTCTTAATTATCTCCCCTTCAAAAAGGGCGTGGTCCCTCATTTTAATAATTTTGAATCCCCTTTACATAAGGATGCTTTGTGCCAAGTTTGGTTGAAATTGGCCAAGTGGTTTTGAGAAGAAGCCGAAAATGTGAAAAGTTTACAGACAAACAGACGGAAAGACTGACGACAGACAAAATGTGATCAGAAAAGCTAACTTGAGCTTTCAGCTCAGGTGAGCTAAAAAGTAAAACAGATTACATTTGTAGAATCATAAAAGATAAAGAAAAAAAATTCAAATTGGTTACTATTTATTTCGAATTTTCAATAACTATATAATGTTTAAACACAACTGAAGCAAACATATTGTTTCCAAAAATCGAATCAAAATTATTAAAAAACCAACAGTATTTACATACTTCTTTATAATGTTATGATGCACACATGGTCAACAAGCTGCACAGGCTGGTCTGATGTTAATTCTGTATCCATACAGTATCATGTCATCGAGCTTTTTATAATACACGGTTTGAAAGATACATAAATTCTTGGAAAATGGGATTACCCGAACAAATTGGCAACATGTCTCAGACTCTTCTTTGAATTTAAAAAAAGAAGCAAAATGACGACCATATGATAAGTCAGTATATATGGCTGACATAGATTTAACCGAATGGCTATAATCATTTCATTGTGCTAAATAGATTTTATTTTTGTATTAATTTAGATGTCACATGAGGAATCAAGAGATGTCCTTCCAATACAGTGCTAATTACAAAAAAGTACCTTACAATATGAATGTGTCGATGTATCTATTTTGTAAATGTCCGATATGCACAGGGATGCATTCATAAAAATGTCAACCCGTGCACGCACGGGTCAAAGCCTAGTATAATAAATTGATTTAAGAAAAAAATGTGATTTAATGTATTTGAATATCTGGATTTTAGACAATAGAATAAATAGATTTACGGGAAAAATTATTTATTTGAGGCACTTAATTAAATATTTGCTTTTTGAATATGTACACCTATTAATAGCCTACAGAAATAATTTAAATAGATTAAAGAATTTTAGAAAATAATATGAATAGATTTAAGAAAAAATATGATTTAAATTCACTTAAATGTCTGCTTTTTGAATATGTAAACCTTAAGAGAGAATTAAGGGTCCATTTACCTGTCCTCCATCCCAACAGGGATTACTCACTGTTTACAGAGTACTTATACGTTTATACAGTTATATTTACATTTCCAATGAATTTCCCCTATGATTCTTTACAAAATAGAATACAGTTCATTTTCTCATGAACTACCATAAATGGGCATGAATATCTCCATTGTTACGTTATAATACTGTTACGTTCCGATAAGTTTACCTGTGAAATTCGGATTAACTGTTGTTGACAAGTTCCGAATAAACGGACCCTGAACCCGATGTGTATAAACTACTAAAATATTTGTCAATGAACAATGAACGAAAGAATTGAACAATGATTTATTATTTGAACTTTATCAATTTGATTTATGTATTGTAATTACAAAGCGTTATGTTGTATATGTTCTATATAGGTACAACGTTATTACTTGACGTCAAAACTATAGTGCAAACAATGACAGTTGAATGGCGTTATTAGTGGCAAATCATCAGAAAAATAATGTACATATAAGAAATGAATTTAATTTTTGAAGATTCATGAGGTACATGAACTACGACGCTTCACGCCGGCATATTTATCATGAAGCGCTAACGCGCTTCATGAAATATGCCGGCGTGAAGCGTCGTAGTTCATGTCCTCATGAATCTTCAAAAATTAAATTCATTTCTTAAATGAGTAAAGAAAAAAAATTAATAAAGTCATAATATTTACTATGGTCTTTCTATAAATACATAAACACAAGACGTCTATGATAAGTAGTGAGCGCGACGCCCTGCAATTTGGTCATTTTCCTACAATGCTACCGCAAAGTATTAAAAAAAAATCCTAAGATTAAGAAGAAAAGTCCGATGTTATGTTAAAAATTCATTACAGATTCATGCAGAAGTGGTCTCAGTATCGCTCTGAACTTGAACAGGTGGGTACGAGGGGTTATGAAAAAGTTCGTGGACTAATGCGATAAAATTAATACTATGTAGTCTATGCTTACAAAATTTATAAGAAACATAAAACAACATAAGTGTAAGAAATGTTGAAAATTTGAGCTTGATACGATGATAATTTGCCAAATTATTCTAAAATAAAAAAGACATTATATGAACACTCAGTGCAGTCGCTGTTTTGTATCATGACGTCCGACAACGTCATTGTTTCCCCAAGTCCGGTCTCTCTAACTCATACACTTATCTTGATGAGATTATCTGGAGTTAAGTAAGGACTAAAGCTCTTGTTTATATGAATTTACACTGTCATGAACAGCTGCTTTCAATGTATATAATATTGTAAAAAAAATCCATACAGAGGGAAATATCCTCAATTGATTATGCCAGAATACTTAGCTTGTTGGGGTTCAATTTCTAGCATACATGATCAACGTCACTTTTCGACGTGACTGTCTATTGACACCCTGACTACATATCGACATTAACAGTGCATCTTTCATCTCTCTGAATCTTTTTGGACATTTAAATACAAGGACTCTGGATGCATTTTATTTTTCTGTAGCCCGTTTAAACATTCCCTAGGTCTATACTGGTTTTCCAGGTGCGAAACTTTATGGAATGCTGGGAAAAGAAATCATTCCCCCCTCTTTTCAAGCCCTTAATTTTTTGGATACCCCATATAAAATTTACGATAAAATTTCATAGAACTTACAGAATGGGATAAAAATTGCAAATTCTACGAAAAATTGCGCCGTACCACATGCCTGAAATACCGGGATTTTTTGTTGACAAATGCTCATATCAAAAGAGTTTTTTTTCATTTACACTCAGGTAGAAAAATGCCATATTTGAGGTTGCGCCGCCTGAACAACTTACAAAAACATTAACACATGGTAACATGTGTAATATGACCTAATACATTGACCTAATCTTAACCCTTTGTTTTAATATAAAATAAATTTGAAGGTAATTCAGCACTTGATATTAAAAAGATACTTGAGATTCTGTTTGAAAATATATATGTGATTATTGGAGACCAGGTCTTCCAACAATCTATTGGAATTCCCATGGGTACCAATTGCGCCCCGTTATTAGCAGACCTATTTTTGTATTCATATGAAGCAGAATTTGTTCAAAATCTTATATCTGAAAAGAAGAAAACACTTGCTGTGGCCTTCAACTAGACATTTAGATATTGTTAATTAACAATTGTTATTTCCATTCTTATGTCGATACGACCTGATCCCACCTCTGATGTTTGGAGGTCCGTGTTTGCTCTGCCCCTATTTGTATTGATTAATGGACTTTTGAGCTTGAATACTGTTCGTTATCTCCATATATTTCATCCTGCTGAACTTGAAATAAAAGATACCAAAAGTCTGACACAACTGTTTCATTTTTGGATATTTTACCAGAAAAAGACGTTAATAGTGATCTAACAACAAAGCTTAATGACTTTAACTTTTCCATCGTCAACTTTCCTTACTTATGCAGCTATATACCTTCATCAGTTGCCTGGGGGTTTATATCTCTCAGTTGATTCGATATACGCAAAAGCATGCTCTACGTATGAACAATTGAACAATTTCTAAAACGCAGTAAGTTATTGACAAACAAGTTGATGAAACAGGAATCTCAGCAGTCTCGTTTAAAGTCGTCATTTCGTAAGTTCTATGGTCAATACAATGGCCTTGTCAGCAAATAAAAATTATCATTAAGTCAAATGCTGACTGACGTTTTTCATATTAATTATTAGGCCATTATTTATACACTGAATTCTCGACGGATTTTTCTGTTATTTCCCGATCATGACAAGGAGCACAGTGTGACTGGTCGGCAGGGGATGCTAACTCCTCCAAGGCACATGATCCCACCTCTGATGTTTTAGAGGTCCGCGTTTGCTCTGCTCCAAACTTTGTATTGTTTAATGGACTTTTGAGCTTGAATACTGTTTGTTATCTCCGTATATTTCATGAATTACAACTAACATTAGCAAATTCATTGCTCTCTTTAAACCATAATGCATATATTTGTATTTATACAGGAAATTTTCAAGCTTCTTTACATTTTTCTTTTATTATCAAATCTTAAATCAAATACTATGATTACAGCTACATATGATAATTCTAAAACCACACAGAAATGTGAATAGACCCGTCATTATAGACAATGGGTAACAGCATTGAGCAATATATCATATTCGAATTTCTTTACTCAGTGTGTAGATGTGTAATTAATAGATTTCTTACATTATTACTGACTAACACCAGAACTCAAATAACATATGTTTAACATGTAATAAATGTATGTTTAAAACATATATGTGTATCAAAGTTTTTCTACAGACATCGACAGTTATAATCATTTAAGCCGAGAACCTCGTAAGTTGTTAGAACTTGTTTTCGATCCTTTTATGTGTTTCATATTTGGTTTTGTTTTTTTTTTCTCCTTGTTTTGTTGAAATTTCACATTCTAAATACATCCCAGATAGGACAAAGTTTTTTTTTAATATAAAAAATAAAATCATACTCTACAGTTCAATACAAAAATGTCTGAGAAAGATAATTAAATGTGAGATGAACTAGATTACAGGTCTACAGCGAGAATCTTTTCAATAACTACTTGTCAAGGCATTGATTAAATGACAAAAGTGAACTTATGACTTGGTTAAGTCAAAATATACTATACATTGATACAGAATGGCACTAGATTGATACATAATGTATATTCTAACTTTAAATAAACATATCACCTTGAAAGCTACCAAACAGAAAAAAAAACATTAGAAACAGTTACTTATTTGAATATTATTTTGTTGATTTTCATTAAAAACGTGTGACTGCTTATCAATGGAAAGTAACTATTCACAGAAAAGTGGCAACCAGATTTTCTTTTATTCTCTAAAGGCGTTGTGTAGATTGAAAGAGATGGGTTTACAGGTATCCTTCGGAAGTAAATCCTCTAAACTAAAGAGATGGTAAAATTGCCTCAAACTCTATCATGGAAATCGTAATTGGCCATGTTGGCTTGTTCAGACCAGGCTGAAAATGTCGCGCCGTCCATTTCTCCGGCAACCTCATTGTCTCCTCGCAGCTGATGGCAAGAACCACCAATCGTTTCATCACACTCTGGACATTTGGACTCCATCATTGCGCCGCCACAGTCCCCTATTGCGTAAATATGACCTGTGAAAGACAAGTTACAAAACACTTAATTGTTTTTTTTAAAAAACCATTTGTCATATCAATGAAGTCTAGATTATTTTAAATGATGAATTGGAACTGTTTTCCTGGCTACATTAGTAAGTTGTGTTTCAAATGTACTTATATTATGCAGTCTTAAAAGAAAAAATAACCTGAACAATTCGAATAAAGTATTGTCAAAAGTATCTGAAAATTGTTTCTGCGCATCTGTTAAGAAATGACCTGAATCGCTGCATAAAAAACCAATAGTTATTTTGTTACAAGTACCTTGAACTGGTATAAAATTATATCTATCAATAAAAAAAAAAGTCATAACGACCAGAATAAAAATTTAATCAAAACGTATTTAGTACGCATTCCTTTCATAATAAAGTTTACTTCAGCCAATTATTTGGGGAAGGGGGGTGTAAATAGCCTCATTATCTCAAACTTGGCTTGTAGACAAAGATAAACTCTTGTTTACTTTCTCTCTAAGAAATATTTATGACACAGACTTAATTATTTCCTCCCAACAACTTAACATTTATCAATTCCGGGTAAAAATGCAATTATATCCAATGAAAACTGCTTACCATTTTTGCACTTGTACCAGTGTCCCTTCTTGGAAAAATTAAAGGCCTTCAAAATCATTGCCTTTTCCTCATCCGATATTCCTAGACCTGTAAGAGGTATTTTTTCTTGCATTGTCTTCAGGACCTCCTTGGAATGTAATATATCCTCTATTTCCAGTTGCTTAGAATTTGGCCATCTTAAGTTAGAAACTTGCTCTTTTAGTAAGTCTCTGTCTTTTTCGGTGACTTGGGATGGATTTTTCAAATCCACTTGTTGAAGGAGCAATGCATAGTCTACGTAAAGAAAGAATCTGTCCACTTCTTCACTGAATTGTTTGACCTCGTATTCGGTAAACATTGTATGTCTGTGTCGTAAAAGCCATTCAATAAGCATGTCAAATTGATCTATTATCTCAGTGCCTTCTTCTGAAGATTTTTCCATCATCTGATCAAACTTTTCTTTATATTTTGGAACAAAGAAAGTAAACAGTTTTTCAGCTTTTTTGTTTGAGAATTCAATGTCATAATTCGATTTGGATAAATTTAAATTAAATCTCAAAATTACAATAGCTTTTCTAAGCTTACATCGTTGCTCAACGGTTTCTTCTGTATTCAAAGCACATGATACTTTTTCTTTCGCAACTGATTTCACCATGTTCATATCCTTTAAATTTTGCATTATTATGTTTTTGTATCTTTTACTGCGTCGTATTGGTGTCTGGCATAAAGGACATCGCAGAAGTTTTATTGCATGACTTTCTGAAACCGAATCATCATTTCTTTCCACCTCCATTTCCATGAACTTATCAAAGCCTTTAACCTCAAAGACGTGTTTGCAGTCTTCAAGTTCAATAAATAATGCATATGGATCGTCCTCTTCACCAAAGAAAATTGTAGTTAATTCCTCTTTGTCACATCTTCTGCACAGCTTAGGACAGGGTTCACCACATAAACCTACACAACGATGCTTACAGGGCAAATCTCGATTACATCTTCTGTTACAAGGTGGTCTATCGCATTCTTCAAAACATTGCTTTTTGCAACAATACTTGTTTTCGCAATATTCATCGCATTTCCAGTCACATTGTTCCCTACAATCGATACACTTTTCGCCACATTTTCGACGACAACCACGTTTTCCCAAATGGCTACAACCAGACGTGCAGGGTTTATTACAAGGTGGACAAGCTGTAGAACATGAATGCTTATTGTTACAAGAATGGCCACACACCAGGACACGTTGACATAATTGCTCACATACTACATGAAGCCTCCCACTAGAACAAGAGAAACAGTCTCCCTTACATGCATGACCACAAGGCAGAATAGTCTGACATTTCTGCTTGCATTTTAATCTCTTTGGTTTGGAGTGTTTACAGCATGGAGCTTCTATTTCATGCCCACACCTCGGGTGAATAACTGGAATTAAAACTGAGCATTGATCTGGCTGGCATTGGATGCCGCAATCTAGTTGACAAAGATGACCACAGGGGTTCGTTTTGCTACATTTCTCTCGGCAGGGGTAGGTTTCTAAGTCTGTAGAACACTTAACTTGTACTTTGTGATTACATTTCGTGTAAACCTTTGTTACTAAAGCTGCACATGGTCCACATGGCCAAGGATGTGAGCATACTTTTTTGCATCTATGGCCTTCATCACACATCTCTTTTAAACACTTTTTCATACATGGCATATCATGGTATGATGCATCTGCGTGACATTTCAGGTCGCATGTATGTCCACAGTTCAGCTGGTACCCACATGGCTCGTTACATCCTCCAACTGGCACTAAATCAAAATCTGCTGGTTTGGATACTTTTGTAATAGTTTGGGGATGATTCACACAGTGCAGGGGAATATAATTTCCAAAGATATTATCTATTTCTGCTTTCGAAATAATTTCACTCCAGGTTCTACTTTTCCGAATGGTTTGAAAGTTTCCAATGACAAAGAAACCCTGTTTTGCTCTTGAAAGTGAAACACATATTCTTTTGATGTCATGCAGATGACCTATTTTTCTTTCGTCGTTTCCTCTTACTAGAGATAATATAATAATTTTGTTTTCCTCTCCTTGGAAATTATCTACGGCCGTAACTGCAATTTTATCTTTTGTATCAAGTCTTGTGCCTGGTAAATCATTTTCCAAATTCTTTACATAATTCCTGATTAACTTAACCTGATCATTGTATGTCGCAAGGATGGTCACATCTGTTTTGCTATATCCTTGTAACAATAAGTAGCGGCACAATCTTGCAACCATTTCTGCCTCAAATTCATTTTTATGACTGGTTGAGTATTCTGATTGGCTCTCCTGATTTTTATGATCAAGAAAGAAAATGTCGTGTTTCATACCCCGTACATGATCATACGATAACACACTTGAATGATCCTGCAAGTTCTTGTAAATCGTGGGTGTAAGCATTGAAGATATTTCAGGGCGCATACGGTGTTGCTGTGATAGACATACATACGGCATATTATTTATTACAAGTCTTTCCATTAACGAAACATCTGTATTGTGAGTTTTTGATAATTGGTAATTGTTAATTGAAGGTCGAAGCTGTTGGTGATCACCTATAAGTATCAGGTGCTGTAAATCTTTAGTAAGACATCCCAGTATGTGTTGTTCAAAAACTTGAGCTGCTTCCTCAACAATCATAATTCTTGGTTGAATCTTTTTCAACAGGTCAATATTTTGTGCAGCTCCTGTTGTAGTCATACCAACAAGATGGCAATTTGATACTATTTTGATATTTTCAGCCGTTTTCTGTTTTATATATTTGCTATTTTCTTCTTCAAATTCTTGCAAAAGTTTGTTCCTTTTATCTATAAGCTCATCTTGAAATTGCTGTATCCAGAACTTGTATAATCGCCATCTATCGTCAATGGTAAGACACCAAACATCTGTCACTTCCTGGACTTCATCCAAGTTCATGGAAACATCCAACCGCAATCTTAAGGAAACGTAACCCAATATCTGTTCCCTCTCTCGTAGTTTGAGAGATTGCCAGAAAGGATGCAGTTGAGTTGACTTATTTTTAGGAATTAAAAATTCCTTTGTCACGAGAAGGTTTGACAAGACATTTTGAAGACAGCCCTTTTGGTCAAATCGCAAATCATCAGCATCTTCTACAATCCTGCTTGCTAAATGTGACATAAAAAGTTCTTCATCGCTTTCATCCATCTCCCAAGGCTCATTTTTCAGAGTATCTGCGGTATTCGCTGTATTGGATAAATCTCTAAACTCCCTGCCCTGAGGGCCTATTTCTAGCCACTGAAAAATGATAGCAATAATATCTGTTCCATTGCAGAGATAACGTTTGTCCTGAAGTGATCGACTGTGATTCTCGGAAATATATTTATTTCGAAAAAGAAATATGGGAGACACAATGCTGTCCTTTATTTTCTCTAACCACAACTCTATTTCAAATATCTCCTGTTTTAACTTCATGACATTTTTCCATTGAATTTTTGATCTGCTTCCTTTCATTTGTTTTCTATGTTCTGTCAAAGTACACCTCTGAATTCTTTCAACATTACTTCGTGAACCCACACGGACAAAGGGTTGTGTTGTTCCTGAAAACAGTTTCATGAGGCTATCCATATCAAACAAAGCATTGAAGAACTGATCAAGTGCATGATTTGTATAACTTAGTAGCAATATAGGTTTCTTATCGCCCTCGTCACTTCCCAAGTTGTTGTTCAGTAGAACTTCTGCAATTCTCAAACCCATCCATGTTTTTCCGGTTCCCGGAGGTCCCTGTATGATTCCAAGTTTCTTTGTAAGACAAAGTTTAAGCGCTGAGTATTGGTGCTCGTCCATGCCTACTTCCTCTGCTGAGGGCCACATACTTGTATCAAGAAGCGGTACTTTTGTGTAATCCTTGTCCATTATGCACTCAACGGGCGTCAGTAAACATTCAAAGTTTACAAGTTGTACTTCACCGTCTTTTGTTCTGCTGTAGAGAGGTTCGAGAACCTCTGTTCTGAGGTCAACAATATACTTTGAAAAGGGAATTCCAGCATCCTCGGGATAAAGTACCATATTTCTAGCAATAGATTGCATGGACTCAAGTGTGTACCGGTATGCTGTATAAAAGGCTTTACTCTCCAGCATCACAACACGTCCGTTTGCCATATTCTTCATTTCTTGAACCTCTTGGAATGTATGTCCTATCATACTCAGTGAAATCTTTCCCCTTTTCAGGTTTTGGGTGTTTCGCTCTGCAATTAATGCGTATAAAAGTATCTCGCAATTACCGTGAGTTAAACAGACAACATTTCCATACTGTAGAAAATTGCAAAAATCCCACTGTATTCGCTTGAATCCTTTTGCATCAAACTGCACCTCTATCACTATGCCGGAATCAGGAACACATTTCCTCTTCAGAATATGTATCCCTTCATAAAGCCTGACACTTTCATGTCGAAATCTTTCTTTTGTGTTCTTGTCGGGATCCAGTGCATGTTCCATGTAATCTTGTATTCCTTGTCTTAGTGGGCCAATGAAATCCTCCAAAAATAGATAAAACTGTTCTACAAGGTAGTGCGCCTGGGATTTTGATGCACGTCTTAACTGCCTCGGTATCAATTTCGGGGTCACATTGTCCCGGATCATAGTACTTGTCGGTAATATTTGAAATTTACTCATGGTAGATAGTTCTTTTTTCATTGAATCAGAGAAAACAATTTCTCCCTTTTCGTCGACTTCTAGATTTTCTCTTTTTTCCTTCATATCCAATCGTGTTGATATTTCTAATAAAGTTTTTTCCATTTCCTGGTTATTTGTACTCCTAACCAAATGAAGAATTAGATTCAAAAACGCCTTCACTTTACTGGACTTTAATGTAGTATCTAAGGAGAGAGCAACCAGCACCTGAGAGGAATGTCTAATAAATTCTTCATCAGAATTTGTCAGCTCAGAACGAACTAGAATACCAGATATCAATGCCATAAGGTCTTTTCGTGCAAAGAAATCAAATTTCATCAACACTTCACATACATCCGAGTTGTGTTCTTCGAACAGATGGGCTAACATCTTCATCATGCACTGTAGATTTTCAACGCTGAAAGTTTTGTCCGATGCCAATACAAACTTTAAATCATCAAGATATTTCACGTTAAATCCCTCAAAGTCTTGGATTCTATAAAAACGCTGCATCATGTCATCTTTGTGTATAGATTGTTTCCTTTTTGAATTGGAGTAAGGAAATCTTCCAGGGCTTGCATGTCTCCTAAATAACTTTTTTGTCTGCTCAGCAGTAGTTTGGCTGTGGTCTGATCTGAAGCTTGGGTAAAATGCTCTGTAGCGAGGACAAGTTGGTCTGTAGCTAGGATTAGTCGGTTTGTAGTAAGGACTGGTTGGTCTGTATCTAGGGTTTGCTGGTCTGTACCTAGGACTAGTCTGTCTGTAGCTAGGACTAGTCGGTTTGTAGCAAGGATTAGTTGGTCTGTAGCTAGGACTAGTTGGTCTGTACCTAGGATTGGTTGGACTGTAGTTAGGACTAGTTGGTCTGTAGCTAGGGCTCGTCGGTCTGTAGCTAGGACTAGTTGGTCTGTAGCTAGGACTGGTTGGACTGTAGCTAGGACTGGTTGGTCTGAACCTAGGACTAGTTGGTTTGTAGCTAGGACTAGTTGACCTGTAGCTATGACTGGTTGGACTGTAGCTAGGACTAGTTGGTCTGTAGCTAGGGCTCGACGGTCTGTAGCTAGGACTAGTTGGTCTGTAGCTAGGACTGGTTGGACTGTAGCTAGGACTGGCTGGTCTGAACCTAGGACTAGTTGGTTTGTAGCTAGGACTAGTTGACCTGTAGCTAGGACTGGTTGGACTGTAGTTAGGACTGGTTGGTCTGTAGCTAGGACTAGTCGGTTTGTAGCTAGGACTGGTTGGTAAACTACCATTCCATTTCATTGTCGGGTGAGGGTTATTTCGACTTCGCTTTGTATGGCGATGTCCTTGTTCCTGTTTTCTCTTCTGGGAATGCATGTCTATATTCTTTCTATTCAGACTTTAAATGTGTACTTTGGTTACATGTTTTCTCTCTGAGAAATTGCACTGGAGTGCATAATAATCCCCGGTTATGATGTTAACTTATATTTCAGGATTCTGCAACAAAACAATGCGTTTTTAACTTATTAAGTGTAAATGAATCATATGATTACCAGGAAGGTATTATCTTTTACATTTTTATATTTGAAAAACAAACTGGTAATGTAATATATTTGGGGTATCGCCCTATTGGCAGTAAGCCAGTATTTGTTTAAAACATCTCGTTTTTTATTCCAGTGAAAATTTGTAGACTCCTTATAGAGTTATTTCAGAGATTGATACCCCTTCCCCCAATTTAATAATGTTAGAAATATAACGTCTATTCCTCAGAAGAAAGAAACACTTGACATGTTATCGGTTTTGTTGGATTTCTCAAACTCTAAATCTAAGATATACAGCCTAATCAGCTTTGTAATCAATGCTGTTAAAAAAAAATTAGAACAGGATGTTGAATTATAAAATAAATATGGACTTTTCGTATACATTTATAATATTTATGATATAGATACATATACACACTGTAGACATCCTTATTATCAGGGTTACTGTAGACATTGGTTGTCTCCTGTGGAGAAACCTTAACAAAATTGTCATGATTTGGGCAATTAGAAAGTTCATTATGGATATAAAAAATGTAAAAATGTGAGGTTTTAATTAAGTAAAATTACGGAAATATCAAATAAAAATTACAAATTACATTCTTAATACTGCGACTATTTTTTTTTCATTTTGCAACCTCTGCGAAGTATGAACCTTTATTGCATACATTGAGTATAACATATCATTTACTTCCTTCATTTTTTGTTTCTTTCTAAGGGGGGGGGGGGGGTCTGTTCATGTTGCATTTAAAGAAAATGTTCTGGCTATAAACAGCTGTTTTACAAACAAATATATCAAGTTTCCGTGATATAGCCAGAGAACCTTTTCATATATTAATTATAAGAAAAAATTCTCACCGTATGTTTGGATTTCCAAATGCTCCTGAAAGTATTGAACATTCAAAATCAAGTTTTGAAGACACAGTCAAAATTATGCATACTAGTATCTGCTCTACTTTCTTTACTTCCTTGATTCAAGGAAATAAACGTGCGCAATCCAGCTTGTTTTTTAAAAACCGTGCTCTGAATTAGACAGTAGAGTAGGATTCTCTTTATTGAATAAAAAAAGAATATAACAAAGTTTGGACAAAGAAAAGTTATTTGCTTTAAAAACTGCGCTGATTAACAATTGTTCATTTGAACCTTTAAAAATTGGTTTATCTCTGATATGTGTAGGATATAGAGAGTCAACGGGTATATTTAATGCACATGAATAATTTATTTATAGGTATGAATCTAAGTTCATTAATCAATATCTTTTCTACTGACGATACGGTTTAGTGGAGTTAAATAAACTGCACCCATTTTTTAAATCAATCTTTGCTGAGTAAGACTTTTAAAAAATGTGTTTCGATTTTATTTCGTAGAACTCTTTGGTTTTCTAAATACATATATCCTCATACAACTAAGCATAATTTGATTCTTCAAAATTCTTCTTTACTGTATGAACAAAATACGGTAAGTTCTATTTTTTACTATATTTTGCCTAAACATTTTGCCTAAACATTGAATATTTATAGTATATGTGTGCTTTATTTATTTACTTTTTATTTTATTTTTTTTAAATTTTATTTTATTTTTTTTAAATTTTTTTTTTTGGTCCAATAAAATTCAAAGTAGTATTGATATAATATAACTATATTTGTTTTAAAGAAGAGATTAAAGAGAGAAAAATATTTTCTAACTAAAGCTAAATAATTAATAGCGATTCAACTTCTTTGCCACGCATGGTCACTGATTTTGATGAAACTTTGCGCATTATTACAACTTGACACCAGAAACATATATCAAACAAAATTTCGTTGCTATGTGTCTTGGTTGCCATGGTAACAGCCAGAAAAGTTGAAAAAATTGAGATTTTCAGCTACTTTCAATCTTTATTAAGCCTTAATAAAGACTAAGAAAAACAAACAAACCATTCTCACAAAAACATGACACCTTGTTGCCACTTATGCTATAAAGAAACTATTTAGAATTTATCTCTAAGTAAGTGGTAACCATGGGTACATTTGGAATACATTTTAGATGCTGAAAAATGCTGAAAAATGCTCAATATTCACAAATGATAGATGTTACATGATCAAACTCAATCAACAACTTAAGAAAAACAATAAAAAAGTATATGACCTTAAGTAATCAGGTATTGGGAATATTATTCTAAAAATAAATTTCATGGTTGCCATGGTAACACAATGTTGCCATGCAAAATATGTTTCTATGATTGGGTTAATGCTACTATCTTGAGGAAAAAACAATAAAATTCATGACTGGCACATATACATCCTTAGGACCTTGCAACACCGACAACATAAGAAAAATTGGAATTAATTGTTTTTCTGCAGTGTTACCATGGAAACAACGTACTAGTTGTTTAAAGTGATATATTTTTGCTGCTTTAGGAATTTACTTACCTTTTAATCAAGAAACATACTATTTGACTAACCTTGAATAGTACTTATCTGGTAGAGCTAAAGTTGAATATCATATATTGATAAAGTTTGTTGAAAAATACAACACTGTTGCTATGGTTACCAAGAAGTGAAAATGTTCGATTTTGTTAATTTATATTAATAATAAACCCTATGTGCCAGCTTTTTGCATCCAGTTAGTGATTGGGTGGTAGTCAAAATTGAAAGTCAGGTTAGTTGTTCATAAATATCAATCATAAAAGTTTTGGGAATCTATATACAAGGGCACGTATCCAAGGAAACATAATATTTTTCACATTTTTATGCATATTTTTTCGGCTAATTTCCATAGCAACGCTCTATTTAAAGAATTAAATTTGAAATTTTTGAAATGTGAAAATTAGGGTCACACCAACGCCTGTAAAAATTTATCATCAGTTGTATAGAAATATGTTTTTTAAAAAGATAGGATAAGATTGAAAACCTAAGAGAACAAATAAAAAATCCCTTCGTGGTATTAAAACCATGGCAACCATTGCCAACCCAAAAGAAATATCATATTTTGCCCTTGGCATATGTTTCAAGGATCGTTTGTCTATTATTTGCTTGCATTTCAAGCTATAATTGTTTTTATTCTTAAGTGTATGACTTTTTAAAATTAAATGAACAGAATTATTACTTTTGAATACTTTGTTTCCATAGTAACGTATATAATAGCTGGTTTACCAAACATGTTTATCAAACATTTAAGACATCAGACCTTCAACTTTCAGAAACAGTCATTGCCACGTCTTTGCTTTGCCGCAAACGTTAATTGTGGGACTCTGAACATGTTGAAAAATGCCGTTTTTCAAACTTTAGGACGTGTTGCTATGGAAACCATGACACATAGCAACCAATTTTTGCCTGATTTGAGTTTAAGGTATCAAAGTCTTTTATCATAGAGAGTTTGGAGAAATTCTGAGACTATGCGTGCTACAACTCCTATATAAAAGTTCAAGTCATTACAGAGAATGGCTCTTAAAACTTTTAAGTTGTTTTTTCTCATTCCTAATTCAGGGCTTAATAATCCTTACATCCAGGTCCTATAAGAGGACCTTGTCCCAACTGAAAATTTACTCTTTTTTCCCAAATTTAATGTAAAAAATTCCTAAATGACACACAGACTGGATTTTTTTAGTGCTTTTGATATAAAACAAACTTGAATTTTGAGACTCTGATGATTCATTTAGATGTAGATGTGAATAAGAATTAAGCCTTCAAAGTAACTCTTTATTCAACATTTTAATATAAAATATGACATCAATATTTCCAAATTCTGCCACTTTTTCGATTAAAAATTCCCAATTGGAAGGGTACAGGACCCTATACCAAAAACGGTCAATTGAACCCTGTAATTCTGAATTAAATTTCTCTGTAATATGTTTAGATAGCGCAGTATGTCGGTACACTAAGCATCTAATTCAGTTGGTAGGTCCTCATAAATACATTGTACACTAGATGAATAGATTAATTGTAAAATTGTTGAACCTTTGACGAATTAAAATTATCTTAGAGACTCAGTTTAATTTTCAATCTTTTTGCATGTCATATAATATTTTAAGGGGGTTGTATGTCAATTGTTGTAAAAGCGGTTTTCTGTATAATTACATTTCTTTTCATTTATGTAACTTTTATTGCATATTCCAACTATACTTGAATGTTCCATTTTAACTCACCAGAGTGAAAGACAGTATGGGCTTTTCTGACTGTAGTGTGTCCGTCTGCCCGATTATTGAATTGTTTATAAACTGTTCCATCTTTTACTTCTCCGGAATACTGACAAATTTCAAACAAACTTGTACAAAGCTTTTTGTTAAAGGGGATTCATATTTGTTCCTTTCTTAAAACGAATATAGTTAAAAGATTGTTTTTGGCATCTTTTGACAAATTTTGAAACCAAAAAGAGATTGGCCAAAAAGATTAAACTTGTATGAAAGCTTCCTTGTAAGTGTTATTTTTGAAAAAGGTGAAATAACGATCAGTGATCGATCTAAAAACAAAAAAACAAAAAAATCCAAACAATACAGATTTGTAACAGGGCATAAACATGGACCCCTGAAAATACCAGCGGTGGGATCAGGTGCCCAGGAAGAGTAAGCACCCCATGTTGACCGGTCACACCCGCCATGAGCCCTATGTATTGATTTAGTAGACGGAATATTTCATAGTCAAATTTAGTACAAAAAACAAAGGCCTAACAATTAGTATGAAACAAGTCAGCCAAAAAACGATCCACTGATAGGTTATATTTGCTAACAAGGTCATTATAACTACCATAGAATTTACGGAAAAAAACAGTTGAAAACATTTTGGGCTGAAAAACAAAATACTTGGGAAATACATGTCAATCACTAAAAATATTTTAAGTGTTTAGATACTCGAACAGGAGAGAAACGCGATATCAAAATAAATAAATAAATGAAAAGTTAATTCTTAGCAAACCTGGTCGCATTAAGAATGTTATTCGTGCCAAAGGGAAGCAAATAAATACTGGAAAATAACGAATAGTGATCAAGTTAAATTTTAATAATAATTGAAATCTAAAAAAAGTTAAATGTCATTTGAGACAATAAGAAGGGAGAAGAGCAAACACGGACCTCTAAAAGCATCAGAAATGGGATCTGGTGCCATGGAGAAGTAACAACCCCTGTCTACTGGTCACACCCGCCATGAATATAATCATTTACATTGCTATTCATAAAATACTCACAAATGAAATTTTATTTTCTACAGAAAGAGGAAATTTTCTTCTAAACTTTAACATGGGACGTCGAAAAAGAAGACGATCGTTTGATCGTAAACCATTTGAACCAAAACGACGGCGAGTGAAAAGTCCATTCGATTTTCGAAGGTATGCCAAGTACGTAGAAGAACAAGCTCAAAATTACTATGATTACGGAAGTGATGACGAGATCGGTTACGAGATTTCCATGGAAACAAGTGGCGAACCGGATGGGGAAGACAAGTTGCCAGTTGAACTGAAAAATGTAGAAAAAATGTTTGATGTGCCAATATTGGATGGACATGACATCAAATATATTGTATGCATGCTGACAGCCGCTCTTGGTAGTGAACCAGACCGCATTTGTTCACTTTTAAAAACAAAGGACTTTTTCCGCAGACATGATGTTTTGAGTCTAGTTACTGAAAAATTGACATCAAAATGTTGCGATTCAGAGGAATGGCTTGAAAATATGGTCAAACTTGTAATTTTAATTACAAAACAAGAAGATATCAAAACAAAGTACACAAAAACCATACTAGGACTACTCTCTCAGATAAAATGTATCAATGATGACACTATCGTCAAGGACCAGATAAGGGAGACTATTAGAATATTGAACGTTAGGGAAAAGCTGGAAAAGCTCAAAGATGACGGTGACACTACGTTTATTCTGTCTGATGAAATAAAAGACGAGTTGCGAAAATTAGTTAATTGGCCAATTTTACCATCAGCACAAATGATACGCCAGAACGAATCACTCCCGATATTACCCCGCGACCTAAATTTGCCTTACAAAAGTCCCGCCCATTACCTGATTGATCAGTTCAGTCTATTTTTGGAAGATTTTATCGGGCCACTGCGCCGGGGTATCCGGAATTATATGGAATATGTCAATTCCAAGGAAACACAGGGAAGGTTTAAAGACGATAATGTCCGGATATACAAAAGAATACGTCTCCTTGACAACAAATGTGTCCCCGGATCAGGTGTTGGTCTAGAGGTGCAATTTGACATGAAGATGTTCAAGAAGATTCGTTGGGAAAGTTGTAATTTTTTGCAATACGGGAATGTTGTGTGTTTGACCTATGATGACTGTTCTGATTTAGTGTACGCATTAATTGCAAATCGTGATCTAAAACAACTAACGGATGGAAGAGTGTTGCTTAAAATTCTAAACGATGACGTCCAAAGTATTAACAATCTGCGAAATGTTCAGGAATGCCGTCTCGTTATGATAGAAAGTAAATCATTCTACATGGTTTATGATCACACATTGAAGTCACTTAAGACTCTTGCATCTGCAATGCTAGAGAAAAATGAAAACATACCGTTTGCAAAGTATTTGGTTTATTTAAAACAGGACGTTTTGGAACCTCTTTACACACGCAAAAAGAATTTTGACGTAAGACTAGCAGACTTTGGATGCCTGTTGCGATATGGAAAACAAACATCAAAAACCTCGTATGAGAAGGTTCCTATGCTCAATGTGGACAAGTGGCCAACATCGGAAGAAATGGGTCTCAACAAAGATCAATATGAGGCGCTCAAAAAATGTCTGACAAAGAGAATTGGTATTCTTCAAGGCCCGCCTGGGACGGGTAAAACATGGATGGGATTGCGAATAATGGAATTCTTACTTTACAACAAAAGCAAATTTGAAGAAAGTCGACCTATATTGCTTCTCAGTTACACCAACCATGCACTCGATCAGTTTTTTGAAAAATTACTAGATTCAGTTAGTCTCCGATTTTTGTTTAGAGGAAAAGAGCGGCCTTTTGTGAGAGTAGGTGGTAGATGTGCAAATGAACGAGTACAAAAATTTATGCTGAAAGAACACAGAAAACAAGAACGATACTGGAGTGAAAACAGGCGGCATGTACAAAACTCCACTAAATGTGTTAAGTATATTGATACGTTTCTTTCCTACTTACAGAAAGGTATCGTATCGACGCGGTTTTTAGAGACTGAAAACATTATATCCCCTCAACATATTTGGTCATTGGAAATAAATTTCAGATTTCATGAGAAGTTCGTCCCATGTAAAGAAGCTATTATTATTTCTTGGCTATGCATACCAAATGTAGCGACGGATTTCCGTGGACACGTGACCAAAGCGCAAAGAGAAAATGGAATAGAAATAGATGACTTATTTTTGCAAGAAAATCAAAAAAGGATTCTTGGCGATGACGATGATGATTTTGAGAAAGAAATTCTACACGCTATTCGTCCTTCTTTTGTCTTTGCAGATGAACATCTGTGTCCAAACAATGTGAATTCAAACGGAATAATATTTAATACTTTCTTCCCTCAGATCTTCCGAAACATTCATCAGGTATTTTGGAACCGAGTGTCTTACGAAAAACGCAGGAGAATGTTGTCTTATGTTCAACAAAATCTGCGCTGCCAGGATATTATGCCAGTTCAGAACGTGCGCCGCATTCGTAATGTATGGAGGCTAAGTCTTCGCGAACGCTGGAAACTGTATAGGTTTTGGATTCACCAATTATCAATAAAGTTTCAAAATCAAAGGACGAATTTAATTTCTCATTTCAGCAGGAAAAGTCAAGATGATCACCATGAACGCTTCAAACGTGATCTTTCTATTCTGACCTCCTGTCAAATGATAGGAATGACCACAACTGGCGCAGCGTCAAATATGGAACTTCTGAGAGAGATTCGACCACGAATTGTGGTGGTGGAGGAAGCGGCTCAAGTTCACGAGCAGCACATTCTTGGTTGCTTAACGAAAGATTTGCAGCATTTGATTCTGATTGGTGACCACCAACAACTTCGCCCAACAATGAACAACTATGATCTTAGATGTCAATATAACACAGATGTTTCTCTAATGGAGCGACTCGTCATGAATGGTTTTCCTTTTCAATGTTTGGCACAACAACATCGGATGAGGCCAGAAATATCATGCATGTTGACCCCTGCAATTTATCCATCTCTTCAAGACCATTTGACTGTTCTAGAATACCAGGATGTTAAAGGGATGAAACATAACATATTTTTCATTGATCATCAAAATCCAGAAAGCCAAACAAACTATTCTACAAGTTACACGAATGACTTTGAAGTTGAAATGATAGCCAACTTGTATAAATACCTTATATTACAGGGTTATTCAAACTCCGATATAACAATTTTATCTGCCTATAATGATCAAGTGAGAAAGATAAGAACGAGAGTTTCTCAAATTTCACAACAATTAGTGATAGGAAGAGAGCTCTCTAACCAAAGAGTTCATATCACTGCTGTTGATAACTTCCAAGGAGAGGAAAATAAAATAATTTTGTTATCGCTTGTTCGTAGCAATGAAGATTGTAAATTAGGTCATCTTGGAGATCCACAAAGAATCTGTGTTTTGCTTTCAAGAGCTAAGGAAGGATTTTATGCTTTTGGAAATTTTCAGATGTTATATAAACGCAATAACCCTCTGTGGATGAAAATAATCACAAAAGCAAAGGAAAAAGATGTGCTCGGGAAAAGCTTATCACTGGTTTGTAAAAATCACCCTCAAAAGATCACCAGCGTTTCAGGTCCAGAGGATTTTGAGAATGTCAAAGACGGTGGATGTGATGAACCTTGTGCTACTCTTCTTCAATGTGGCCATGTCTGTGAAAGAAAGTGTCATGCAGATAACTCAATTCATGACCTCCCATGTCAAAAAGCATGTTTAAAGAAATGGTGTGACGATGGACATCTGTGCCAGAAAGAATGTTATAAAGAATGCGGACCATGCATGGAAAGAGTAAAAAAGAAGTACCTTACTTGTGAACATGAAGTATGTGTTCCTTGCTCAGAAGATCTAAGCGATCGTCCTTGTCCGGCAAAGTGCACAAGACAACGTGATTGCGGTCATATTTGCACATTGAAATGTAGTCAAAACTGTAATAAATATCCATGTCAAGTTGTGGTACAAGTTACACATCCAGCCTGTGGTCATGAATCGGTGATAAAATGTTCTGCAAAGGATAACTTTTTCTGCCAAAAGGAATGTAGGGAAACGCTTCCTTGTGGTCATTTTTGTAAGGGTACCTGTCATAGTTGTTCTAATGGAAGATTACATATCCAATGTAAACAAGTATGCTCGCGAGATCTTATATGTGGGCATAATTGTAATACTGGTCATCTTTGTTCGAGCATGTGTCCACCATGTAACAAAAAGTGCGAAAGAATATGTGAACATAGAGAGGGATGTCCTCGCTTGTGCGGTGAAATCTGTGAACCTTGCACGAGGCCGTGCAACTGGGATTGTGATAGGAAATGCAAAAACTCTTTCAAGTGTTCTAAACAGTGCTTTGAAGATTGTGAAAGGCCTCGCTGCGACAACCGTTGCAAGAGGACTTTAAAGGGTTGTAATTCTCGACACAGGTGCACCGGCGTGTGTGGTGAGATATGCCCAAACTTCTGCAAACGATGCAACAATGATCAACTACATGAAATGTTCTCTGAAGCGAAACGAAACGATAAAGCACTTTTTATCGAGCTTGTAGACTGTGGGCACATATTTGATCTGGACGCTATGGATAGACACATGCAGTCTGAGTCTAGTGATGAGTCTAACAAGAATAGGCAAGTTGCTTTGAAAATGTGTCCGAAATGTTCCACTCCTATAAAGAGAAGCAAAAGGTACAGAAATATCAACAACCAAATATTTCGAGACCTTGAAGAAGTGAAAAGAGATATTGAAAAAGGGAGGGTCAGTATGTTTCACAATAGCTTTTGGATCAATCAATCACTCAAAGAGAATACAACTCCCGTCTCGTTCTTTGTGGATAATATCGATGAATTGTTGCCCAAAAACAGTAAAAATATTTTTGCCAGAAAATTACTCATATATTTTGTATTAAAAATAGGACCAAGATTCAATGAGCTTGAAAGAGCAGATAGAGAATTTCCTCCTGAAATAAAAGGAACATATCTAATAATGGTAAAGTGGATTGGTAAACACGCTGACATAATTTTTAAAGATTATGAACTTAGGCAATTTGCAAATGAGGTGGAGAGATACTTGTTATATTTAGATTTGATTTTAATGAAACGTGAGTTTGATGAAAATGACTATACAAACATTACTCAAAGTGACAAAGAACGTCTTGAGTGTCATATGACCAAGCTGAGATGTCCAGGTGGGAGTACCTTTAAACCTGAAGACATTACAAAGGCCAAGTCAGCGTTCGAAGAACTTAGGAGAAAAGAGCCAACTTCTTGTTCCTGGATTTCTGATGATGAACGAAGGATCAGTTTGCAAAATGTGGCGTGCACAAAGCAAGGCAAATGGTACAAATGTACAAATAGTAAGTACATTATTTTTTTTAATTCATTGTAAACTAACAAATTATTAGACATTGGCAATAAGTAACCTTTCTACTTTACTAAATACAAATGAAATTTCTTGTTCATTATATATTAGTAATTAACCATCTGTGAAATGACTCATTTACTGATATAACATTACAGGCCATATCTACAGCATTGGTTTTTTCGTCGATACTAGTGACGAATCACAGTGTCCGGAATGTCGGCCATCGATAAAGAATTCTAATCGCTGAGAGAGTGACGGCAAAGAAAAGGAGGGTGAACGGGACTGGACACCACGAAGTTGGGACCATCCAACCCCACCCTCGGACATGGAGAATGTTTCTCAAATAGTTGAAAATGTGATTTTATGTCATTTTAATTCATTCATTCTTCACCTTTCGCTATCATAAGTCATGTGATTTGGAGATTAAAAACGGGGGTAAAACAGAGAATAAAATGGGGACTTATCTATTTTTTTCAATTTTTTATGATGAGATGACAAATCGTATATATTTATGCTGCAGATATATCACATTGAAATAATAGATGATTATAAATGTATGAATTAAGAATAACTTTAAATGATTTATTGTGTTGCAATCACATGTTGACTGCAAATCTTTACGAAATGGACTCCGTCGACGTAAATTTTCAGTTATTATTTATTTGGATTGAATACTTCATATTAGTTTAAATTGTTACTGTGTGTCTTTTTTATAGATTCATTAAATATTCAAATAAGAAAATGTGGTTGTATTGATTTATATCTTTCAATGAAAAAAGGTGAGGATAAGGAACAGTGATCGATCTCAAAAATCTATAAACAATACAAATATGTGAAGGGGGCATAAAACACAAACACGGATCCCTGGAAATTCCAGAGGTAGGATCAGGTGCCTAGGAGGAGTGTGCATCCTCTGTTGACCGGTCATAACTGCGTGAGACCTATGTATTGATCAGGCAGACAGAACATACCGTAGTCAGATCCAGTATAAAAATTGTTTGTAAGGACAAGGGCTTAGCAGAGCATTTGCTTGAACCTGTAATCTGTGTATCTCTGTTTGTAAGGATTTTTATGAAGTTTAAGAATGCAATATAGTTAGGGTAGATCAAACTCACTGACTGGAATGTTAAAAGATTCAGATACTAAAATGTGATTTTGGAGAATTTCGTCTATAGAAAGTGAATTGTGAGAATACGTTGGATTTCCAAATGTAAAATAAGCTTCCTTGTCGGCTTGTGTCATCCATAAATAATTTATGAGAAAAAAGTCGAACAGGCCCGGGGTCTATATCGGGGCGGGGGGGGGGGGGGGTTCCTGTCCTCAAGCACCTGTGGTTGAAGAGTCCCAAAATAATTATAGAAGGCTGGCCCTTCGTGTGACTCTTATAACGCCTATATTTGATGCTGTAGGCCTCTTTTAAAACCATTTTTGAGGAAATACCAACTATGTAATTTTTAAAATTAAAATTGAAGCGCCAGGTAGTTCCGTGTATTGTAAGTCATATTTATTAAAGAAATGTGTAAAGAAAGATAGAGTCATAATATCCTCAATAGTTCTTTCAATATTCTATCCATAAGTTACATTATACGTCTATGATTAATCTCAGCGAGATTCGTCGAGACTAAAAATTTTAGACTGGCCAGCGTCTCTTCGCCAGTCCAAAATATTTAGTCTGACGAATCTATGTGATCCAATGTATTGTAATCCCACAGGCACCTGACGTTATTTATTTTTCTTTTGATAAAAAATATAGGTCAACCCCTATCTAAATAATCAATAACAACAACAACAATTATAACGTCAAGTGAGTAGTGAGCGCATCGCGCCGCAATTTAGTCATTTTCCTACAATGCTACCGCAAAGTATTTAAAAAACTCTTTAGCCTTAGCATGTTGAGAGGGCAAATCCGATGTTATGTTAAAAATTTATCACAAATTCAAACAGATGTGGTCTCAGTATCGCTACAGATTCGTACCTTGGATCGCTTTAAACTTGAACAGGTGGGTAACTGTGAGTTATATCCCTATTTTATTATTGGTTTAAATTTTAATCTGTACTGTGGTAGAAAGTTTCTGTCTAATCCGAGATTCCTCTGACTCTAACCCCTGCTTTTATATTTTGACATGTGCACATGTCAAAATATAAAAGCAGGGGTAAGATTCAGAGGAATCTCGGATTAGTTTCTGTCGAATTTCCTCGAGGAATAATATATAGGTCCTAAATCAAAAAGCTCTCCGTTATTCTACCTTTTCTTAGCCCCAACACAGGGGCTAGCCCTAGCTTTAACCCTATGTTTTAATATAAAATGAATCGAAGGTTATTCAGCACTTTATTAGGTGGATAACAACTAAAACATTAACCTGTTAACATGGCTCTCTTTAAACCATAATGTTAAGACGGGGACATAGAATAGATTTTATTTGCCAATCATGGTCCCACTGGGGGGTATAACTTAGATACAAGTAAGCATGATTTAAGAAATAAAGTCAGTGTTATCGTGAATGTTGCAGGATAACCTCCGAGGTCGAGAAATGTTGTCTGAAATATAAAAGCCGAGGCGTTAGCCGAGACAACATTTCGAGACCAAGGAGGTTATCCTGCATCTAATCCGAGATTCCTCTGACTCTAACCCCCGGCCAGCTTTTATATTTTGACATGTGCAGGGGAGATTTTTTCAATGCTCTAGGATATGCATGTCTCAGCAGTGTAACTGTCTGGACACCATTCCTTCTCATAACTAATGTAGATTAACAATTCAATAATGTTTGCATGGTTTGTATCATATAAAATTGAGAAAATATAAATAAAATAAGTAAAAGTAAACAATGGTACCAGGTTGGTATAAATGTTAATAAATTATAAAATAAGGATGTATTAAAGAGGGATTCTTGTCTGGTTTCTGACTAGATGAAATATTCAAAATATATTTGCTTATATGTTTTATATATTTAGATGTAAGAGATTTAAAAGATCATATTTTTCTTTCCTCATCACAATTGTACAACTTTAAATAGAAATGGTAAACTGAGTTTGAAATCTAGCAGTGACTATATTTTTGGCGGAATGGCGGCGTATGAAAATATCTTCTTTTCTGCCTCTCAAAATAATTATAGAACAATGAATTTAGTTATAATTTTTACACAATCAAAGACTTGGAGAAAATGTTTAAATGTAAGTTAAATTTATAATAAGGGACAAATTTTTAAAATATATCAAATAAATATGATTTTCTAAACAAACTACGATTATGTTAGCTTTTAAAAGCTTCCAATCTAAGTTCAGATTTGAGCCAAAAATCCGTAAAAAGTGTTTTTTCTCTCTTAGTAAATGGTCAAAACTTTCTGTTTTTGTATCATTTTGTATCTTTATGTGACAACTTTATCATATGTGAAAATAAGAAAAATTTAAATATAAGAAGCATATAAAAATAACTAAAATGTCTTAAAATTTTAAGAAAAATAGAGAAAATTTGGATTAGCCAATATCCATTTTAGTTAAATTATTTATGTCAATTTGGTAATATCATCTTATAGACCCTATATGGTAATATCTCTTCATGCAAAATGAAAAACATTTAATTTATTGAAATAGAAGTTGGCATCGCATGATTGGCAACAGTAATTTTTTATTCTTAATGTCCAGGGAAAAGGTTCTGACCTTGACCTGACCTTTCCTCTAATATAAAACGGTCAAATTTAATCGAACTGATACCATCACTTAGTGATATTGTCTTCTTGATTCTATGAAAATTTCATTGATTTTTAAATATAAGAAACAGGTGTTCTTATGAGAAGAATCCCTCCTTAAAGGTTGCCAGAAATGCATGATCCTAGTCAAATATATAACATGGAAAAAAGGTTCCTCATGTCTAATGTAGATAAGCAACATGAGTTCTATTATATTTTTAAAAAAGTGTCTGGATATTTTTATACTTACTAGGTCAGCAAAAACAGTGGACAAAGGTTACAGTGATAAATTAATACCAGATGAAGCCGTCCAAGGATCTCTAGTGAAACTGTTTAGTAAATTTCACCAGTTTTATCACCCTGGCCAGAGAGTGTGTCTGGAGAGGGCTTACAGAGCTCTGACTGACAGAGACCCCGCCCACATAGCCAGCCATAACCTACAGGCCACAAAGGACCAGTTTGGCTTCACAGTAGAGAAGGGACCAAGCACCTTGCCTCACGGGGGAATGGGGGTATTTGTTACCAGTGGACTTGTGCCCCAAGGAACAATAGTGTGTTTTTATCCAGGTACAAAATGTATCCAGGTCATGGTAAATGCATGCTTATATGTCTGAAATGAATTGAAAATATGTGAAATTCAAAGAGCTTTGGCATTTCATCTGTGTGATGTTAAACTCTATAAATTTATAAAACTATAAATTAATGTACCTTTAAACCATACATGCAGTTGTCTCTTTTCTAAGAATTTGGCTTGTCTGCAAACAGCTAGCTGGAAATGGGTAGGGATCGATTCTTAAGATTTACAATACTATAACTTTCATACACGTGACATTTATTTCCAGGAACAGTGTACTATCCACATGAAGCGATTTTATTCCAGAGCATAGGAAATACATTTATATTCCGCTGTATTGATGGTGTGCTGATTGATGGAAATGACAGGTCTCTCTCAAGGATGATATTCAAGTAAGTTAATTTATATCAACCAGTGTATTCCATTCAGTAATAAAATTAGTATAAGCTTTAAAGGATCTCACATGTATTTTTTTCTTTTCCTAGATCATGTTCTCAAAGAGATAGACAGGGTCCATTTGATACATGTGACTGGTCATGGATGACCAATTACCCCCAGAATCCTCTGGCTATAGGCCAATACGTCAACAATCATAACAAAGGTATATTAAGTAGAAGTTGATTGGGGGGGGGGGGGGGGGTATTCATACTGTATTGCTCCTCTTGAAAAATTATATTTTATTTACCCAGGAATAATGTTGAATTAAGCTGCAGTAGTACAACACATGCTATTTTAGCAAATCATCAGGGACTGCTGAGAGTGCTACATTATTCCATAAGTCTTCATATCAAGTCAATTATTTATTAATTTCTGGTGCTGGATGAAAAAAAAATATTTCTTCATTGTAAGCAGGAATTTGCAGTATCAGTATTCCCTATTAAAGTATTCTACTGTATACTGAAATGGAGCAGTTTTAGCTCTGACATTTACAGTACTGCTTATGAAATGAATATTGATATGCAAAATAATACTTCAAAAAATGCATGGAATTAATTTTCTGTATCATTGTTATCCATGTTAATATACAAAATTTAAAAAAAAGTCAATCAGAAGATTCAATATGCTTCCCCCCTGTCTCTGTAGAATTCCCCTCTAATGTGGCCTATCAAGAGTATGATGTACCTGTGGATTTTCCTTTCCACCTCAAACAGTTCATCCCCAATGTATTCTACTCCTCACATATAACAGAAGATCATATGTCATTAGAGAGGTCTGTAAAATTGATATCTATCCAGTTACTGTCTTTAAGTATAATATATGTAAAAAAAAAAAAAAATTAGAGCTGGGACAATAAAGCTAACCTCTGATACACAGTACCTTTATATCCTGATATATTTTATTACAAAGAAGATCAGGTTAATTTTTACTTGATTTGTAATACAAACCATGTTCTTGCTTAGTAAGTTTGAATCAGACCGTTATATAATGTTTAAACAGTATATTGTTTACACTGTTTTATATTTATATTGATTTGGTACAGGACCTTGAGAATGGTGGTTCTGGTGTCAGTCAGGGAGATAAAGGCCGGGGAGGAACTCTTCTCTTCTTACTTCACTGTCATCCACTGAGGAGCCACCCAACACTGACACCACAGAAGAGGCAGTAAAATAAACCCACAAGGAGCCACCTTACACTGACACCGCAGAAGAGGCAGTAAAATAAACCCACAATAATGCACAGAGGCCCCTACAAACATGGAACCACTACAGTGGCAACTGATATAAAACTAGTGAAGGGGCCACTCACATTGAACCACTCAGGAGGCAATCAGAAGTGGAACCACTCAAGAGCTTACTGAAATTAAAACATTGAGAAGGACACCAAAATGAGCCCAATCAGTTCGCTGGAAGGAACCACTCAGGAGGTTGCTGAAATGTATTATTCAGGAGGCCACCAACATTAAACCATCTTATAGTCCACTGGCAAGGAACCACCCAGGATGCTGCTGAATTGGTACCACTGAGGAGGCCACCAACAAGTAACCACCCAGGATGCTGCTGAATTGGTACCACTGAGGAGGCCACCAACAAGGAACCACCCAGGATGCTGCTGAATTGGTACCACTGAGGAGGCCACCAACAAGGAACCACTCAGGATGCTGGTGAATTGGTACCAATGAGGTAGCCACTATCAAGGAACCATTCAGGAACCTGCTGAAATAGAAACTCAGGTTACTGAAATTACAAGCATGTGAGTGACACTGCCACAGAAGCACTTACAAGGTGACAGTGGCCTCTGATATGATTGATACTTATGTCAAGCCTCTGATATGATTGATACTTATGTCAACATTTGAAAGAAATCCAAAGGAGATGATTTCATCAGCTGGTCAGACTGGGATGTGTGGAGTATTAACAATCTAGAGCAATTATAGTTTACCCCTAAATCAATTATCCAGGAGCAATTAGAGTTTACACCTAAATCAATTACCCAGGAGCAATTAGAGTTTACCCCTAAATCAATTATCCAGGAGCAATTAGAGTTTACACCTAAATCAATTACCCAGGAGCAATTAGAGTTTACCCCTAAATCAATTACCCAGGAGCAATTAGAGTTTACACCTAAATCAATTACCCAGGAGCAATTAGAGCTTACCCCTAAATCAACTACCCAGGAGCAATTATAGTTTACCTATAAATCAATTACCCAGGAGCAATTAGAGTTTACCCACTAAATCAATTTCCCAGGAGCAATTAGAGTTTACCCACTAAATCAATTTCCCAGGAGCAATTAGAGTTTACCCACTAAATCAATTTCCCAGGAGCAATTAGAGTTTACCCCTAAATCAACTACCCAGGAGCCATTAGAGTTTACCCACTAAATCAATTTCCCATGAGCCATTAGAGTTAACCCCTAAATCAACTACCCAGGAGCAATTAGACTTTACCCCTAAATCAATTACCCAGGAGCAATTAGACTTTACCCCTAAATCAATTACCCAGGAGCAATTACAGTTTACCCCTAAATCAACTACCCAGGAGCAATTAGAGTTTACCCTTAAATCAATTACCAAGGAGCAAGTAGAGTTTACCCACTAAATCAATTTCCCAGGAGCAATTAGAGTTTACCCCTAAATCAATTACCCAGGAGCAATTAGACTTTACCCCTAAATCAATTACCCAGGAGCAATTAGAGTTTACCCCTAAATCAACTACCCAGGAGCAATTAGAGTTTACCTATAAATCAATTACCCAGGAGCAAGTAGAGTTTACCCACTAAATCAATTTCCCAGGAGCAATTAGACTTTACCCACTGAATCAATTACCCAGGAGCAATTCTAGTTTACCCCTAAATCAATTATCCAGGAGCAATTAGAGTTTACCCCTAAATCAATTATCCAGGAGCCATTAGAGTTTACCGGTACCCCTAAATCAATTACCCAGGTTGGGTAAAAAAGAAACAGATTTTTTATTTTAAAAAAATGTCACTGATTAATTAAATCTTTGACACATAAATATCTTGGAATAAAGTGAGTAATATTCAAAAGACTAGGGAAATGCAAAAAAATTTTGTTGTCTGCTGTTGTTCATTAGCTAGATCAGAAAGCCACTTTTAGAAATATAATTAAGATTACTATATTTTTTGTTTGCCCCTCACATTTGTCATGTTGTAATACATGTTTAACCTAAAAGATCTACCAGTAATTGAAAATGCAGGCCTTTCAAAATCAGCTGGTACCAGGTACTTTTTACCTGGCTGATTGTACTGGCAAGAATATTTGATGGAGAAAAATTCTGTATCATACTCTTCCACTAGGTACCTCCTATTCTTCTAATCTTTTTGAAAGCCCTGATGATGTAATTTTAAATACATAATTAGGATTTCTTATATTTTTGTGATTGGATATGAATTTTATTCAATAAGTTGTGAGTTGTACTTGTGCAATTAAGCTTTTTTGACATCAGGAGTGGTTGAAATTACGGACAGAAAAGCCGTTTGCTAAAGACTGCCTCTCTGTGTGGAGCGTTGGGGGCTCTCTTTCAATGAGGATCTTCCGAGTGTTCCTTGTTGCATTCAATTTGATGGATATTATCAGTCATGGAAATATTGGATAAAATATGAAGAGGAAATTTGGGACTTGTTTGTTTTTAAAAATTCTATAAGGAAAAGGCAATGTCACAATTCCAAAACATAATGCTTATCATGAACTTTAATATTAGAAAGAAAAGTAACATGGTTGTAAGTATACATATAAGAAGAGGTGAACAATTTATTCAGTGAGTTATGACTGATATCTCAAGTTGGAATAAGAGTTAAATGTGATAATTTTCTTAATCATGAGCCCTTGTAATAAAGTTATATACTGTAAATATTTTGCATTATTTGATAAAATCCATTTTGATTCATTGATAGGTTTTGTTTGATACAATTCTGTTGATGTGTAAATAAAATAAAGCATATACTTCATACAATGTGATATTTTCAAAGTTAATTAGTTAATATGACATATTTTGGTATTGGAGCCACAGGCACTTGTTTCGGTAATAAATTTTTAACCCATACTATACAGGGTTAAAAATTTATTACCGAAACAAGTGCCTGTGATTGGAGCACAGTATTCCCTGGTGGTAGAATATAATAATTTAATATGTACAAAATTAAGAGTGCAGAATTTCTAGGACTGTTATGTGAATCTTGCATTCACTGTGAAGGATTTCTAGAGTGACTGTTATGTGAATCTCGCGTTCACTGTGACGGATTTCTAGAGTGACTGTTATGTGAATCTCGCGTTCACTGTGACGGATTTCTAGAGTGACTGTTATGTGAATTGGACGTTCATTGTGAAGGATTTCTACAAGGACTGTTATGTGAATCTCGGCGTTCACTGTGACGGATTTCTAGAGTGACTGTTATGTGAATCTCGCGTTCACTGTGACGGATTTCTAGAGTGACTGTTATGTTAATCTCGGCGTTCACTGTGACAGATTTATAGAGTGACTGTTATGTGAATCTCGCATTCACTTCTCTTTTATCAGCACTGTGTTTTCCTCCTTGTTTAAAAAAATTTCTCCAAGATACCCATGTTCAAGTTTCAAACTAAAGGTACTCTGAGCACTGAGCTCACAAAATGGCATCCCCCCTGCCATATGAGTATAATGGCATAATGCATTTCTTGGCAGTATGTAAATAAGATTCTGTGAAAGTTTCATTGAATTTCATTCTGGGGTGTAGGAGGAGTTGCATATAAACAAATTGGGTACTCCTTTACCAGTGTACCATGTTTTGCTAAAGGAAACCCCAAATATCTGCCTGATCAAAATGGAAAAGAGAGGGTGCACAATGACGCTATATAATAAACATAGGTAATCAGAGAAAACAGAGCTCACCTCAACAAATGTTGTCTTTAAGTAAGGCAAAGTCCAAAACTAATAATCTAGTGGTGTGCATCCCTAGGTGCAACATTTATGCAATTTTGGTCCGACAGGGCTTGCAGTTACTTAAGAATGGACTTACCTAAAAACATTGAACTAGTCACTCATCCAGAAAATGTAAGTCATATCCAGCATCTGAAGCAAATTCGAGAGTATTCATCCTGTGATTCAGTGTGATGCATCATCCATGCAAGTTTGATTCAGATAGCGGTTATAGTTTACTTTAACCTGGTCACTTATCTCAACAAGAGGCCCATGGGCCACATCACTCACCTGAGTAACGTTAGCCCTGCTGTTCTTTACCAGATTGCCCCCCTTGTAATACCTATTGTGGCCCCGCCCTACCCCAGGGGGTCATGATTTGAACAATTTAAAATCTACACTACCCCAGGATGCTTCCACATAAGTTTCAGTTTTTTGGTCCAGTGGTTCTTGAGAACATTTTTAAAGATTTTTCCTATATATTTCAATGTAAAACTTGGATTCCCTATTGTGGCCCTGCCCTACCCCCAGGGGTCATGATTTTAGCAATTTAGAATCTACACTACCCCAGGATGCTTTCACATAAGTTTCAGCTTTTCTGATCCAGTGGTTCTTGAGAAGATTTTTCCTATATATTTCAATGTAAAACTTGGATTCCCGATTGTGGCCCCGCCCTACCCCCAGGGGTCATGATTTGAACAATTTAAAATCTACACTACTTGAGGATGCTTCCACATACGTTTCAGTTTTTCTGGCCCAGTTGTTCTTGAGAAGATTTTTAAAGATTTTTCATATATTTTAATGTAAAACTTGGATTCCCTATTGTGGCCCCACCCTACACCGGGGGGTCATGATTTGAACAATTTAGAATCTACACTACCCCAGGATGCTTTCACATAAGTTTCAGCTTTTCTGATCCAGTGGTTCTTGAGAAGATTTTTCCTATATATTTCAATGTAAAACTTGGATTCCTGATTGTGGCCCCGCCCTACCCCCAGGGGTCATGATTTGAACAATTTAAAATCTACGCTACTTGAGGATGCTTCCACATACGTTTCAGTTTTTCTGGCCCAGTTGTTCTTGAGAAGATTTTTAAAGATTTTTCATATATTTTAATGTAAAACTTGGATTCCCTATTGTGGCCCCACCCTACACCGGGGGGTCATGATTTGAACAATTTAGAATCTACACTACCCCAGGATGCTTCCACATTAAGTTTCAGATTTTCTGGCCCAGTGGTTCTTGACAAGAAGATTTTTAAAGATTTTTCTTATATATTTCAATGTAAAACTTGGATTCCCTATTGTGGTACCGCCCTACTCCGGGGGTCATGATTTGAACAATTTAGAATCTTTACTACCCCAAAATGCTTCCACATAAGTTTCAGCTTTTCTGGCCCAGTGGTTCTTAAGAAGAAGATTTTTAATGACCCCACCCTATTTTTGTCTTTTCTTGATTATCTCCCCTTGTAAGGGGACTTGGCCCTTTATTTTAACAATTTAAACTCCCCTTCACCCAAGAATACTTTGAACCAAGTTTGGTTAAAATTAGCCCAGTGGTTCTTGAGAAGTTGAAAATGTGAAAAGTTTACAGACCGACGACGGACAATTGGTGATCAGAAAAGCTCACTTGAGCTTTCAGCTCAGGTGAGCTAAAAATGTCGGTCAGCTACAGCATCCAAAGCAAGCCTGGTAGTGTGCATCTTTAGATGCATCATCCATGCAAGTTTGGTCAACAAAGGGCTTATGAAGTTACTTGGAATTGAGACCTGCTCTAAAAACTTTTAACCTGGTCACTCATCCGGAAAATGAACACTGTAAAGTTAGTGTAAGCATGAATTCATTAGCGAGTTTGCATTAATGATAATCGGTGTTTTACTTCAATTCCTCAAATCCAGTGAAAGAAACCATTTCAAAATGGCTTGGAATCAATCAACCAAACACTAACATGCATTTGTATTTTTAATGAATTTGTACAATGAATGACTATTTACACAACATACAATCAATCCCTGGTAAATGATTAGGAGAAAATTTAATGAGATTTGTTTTTGAACGTTACTTTCAATCCTTTAGCTTTACAAACTTCTGAAATCAAGTCTTTCATATATGTAATTTCGCGAGTCAACTGACTGACTTTATCATTAAGTTCTTTATTTTTCTCTGCAAGTTTTTCCTCTTCTTTTTTGAGAACATCTGCCTCCTCTCTCTTTTTGTTGCGGTATCGAATTGCTGCATTTTTGTTCTGATCTCGTTTCCTGTCCTTCCGATTTTCTGCCGTAGTACTGTATGGCCCAGATCTCCTTTGTTTGGTCTTCTGTTTCCCACTGGACCGTGACTTTGGTTTATAATCCTCATCATCGCTTTGTTGGGGGGAGTAATCCGGGTCGTTGCCATCACTCTGGCTACTCGGTGAGGACGGCTCCGATCCTGATAACAAACTGTCTATTTCTTCTGCAGAGAGAGGAGAACTGATAAGGCTATCAACACTTCCAACATCAAGTAAGTCATGCTGCGAGGAGGATGAAGTGTTCAGACTCGTAACTCCGTAACCCGAGTCAAATGAGATTTCTGCTGGTACCTCAATCATGTCACTGCTGGAACTCGCAGCAACAGACTGAAGTGAAGTCAAATGAACACTTTCATCTAGTAAATCAAGATGAGACAACTCTTGCTGAACCACAGGTGTAGGACTCACTCTAACCGGTGGAGATTGTTTAATTGTAATTGGTTGTGTGAGCAAATCATGTAAAACACTGTGGTTTACATTTGTGTCTTTTATCACAATGATTGGCTCGCTGGCTTTTTCGACCTCTTGCGTCGTCGGAGTGTTTTGGCCTGCTCCCATGCCCTCAAGGAACTGCTCGAGACTTCCGGTCTCCATCCAGTCAAGGTCCAATGGATCTAAAATGTAAAAAACATCATGTGAATTTGCTACTTTGGGAAACACATTAATAAGGTGATGCTCAGCAAGACTTTACCAAACTGATTGTATCAACAACCATGCTTACCATCTTGACTCAGAAGGAGGAGTTCGTCCAGCACTTCCTTGCCGGCCTGGTCAATAACCAGTTTGGGAGCTGGGTCATTACCAGGGAAATACTTTTCCCCATTGTCCTCATACTCCGGCGAGATGGTGGACGAATCGACTTCGTCCAGCACTGCCAAATCCTCGAACAATGGGAACTGCTCCATCTCTAGAACTTCCATATCCATTGTTGGTGGTTAAAAATTTACTAAATAGGGGGGTTTCTTGTGAAAATTGTGAAGTGGTGGCCAAGGCCTCGATGAATTGCGGGTAAAGCCTGCAAAAATTAAATTTCATATCATTTATTCAATTAGTTATCTACAAAAATAATGAGTTAAATTTGCATGAAATATTCCAGGAAACATTTTATTATAGACTTAACAACATAGCTTCAAATTTCAGTCTACAAAGCGACTTTAATCATACATATGGCCATCTTTGGCCAACTATCAAGAATTTCCGGACATGCAATATGGATACAATAAGGCGCCATTTTGTACAGAATTATGGTGGTACATTGTACACAATATACAGAGTATTATAATATATACTTACGCCATGATTATATATTAAAGTTGTCTTTGTGCTAAGCCTAAGCTTTCGCACGCGTGAAGGTCACACCATTTATCAAGCAGCCATCGTTAATCGCTCGCGTACGAGTTTGGATAAATATAGATACGTGCTTTCTGTCTTGTTGTCCACATAACGAATGATCACGACGTGTACTGCTGCCCGTAGTAGGCTAAATCACCAAGGTCATGTTACTGAGCAATAGAATTAAAACTCTCTTTTTAATGAAACTAGATATACCTGATTTAAGATAGTTAATAGTTCTTTACAAAATTTATATTGAAGCTTTATTTTAAGGAAAAAGTATGAATTAACAATTCATAGATACTGGAACTATTTTCATTGCACAAGGATATTCTAGTAAACAAACAGTCATAGTTGCATCAGAAAATTTGGAGTTTTGCCAATTTCATTTTTTCCTTAAATTTCATTGGCCAAAAGAGCACACCTACTCTACGTCAATTTCCTAATTTAGATCAGGAAACTCATGTTCTAGTATTTGGCACGATATGTGAAGCAGTCACGAGTCATTCACGTTATTTATAGAATTTTAGGAGCGGATCCAGAAATTTCCATTGTTTTCAGAGGCAGGAGTTTGGGGCCGATTTGAGGCCCCATGTAGATCCAGGGCAAAGCCCCGATGGAGATTCAGATTCGATATATATTTCCAGGAAGCTCTTGAATTATGAGATTTAAGGAGTATCACCGAATATATAGAAACTGTCACAACATCCCGCGTTACTCTTTGTTACACTTAGTAATGAGCTTAATTAAAACACAATCTGGTATTAAAAGATGTTCCAAATAAGTTACTGCTTCTCAAATGGTAGCGGATTCGGATCATCTAATTTTTAATTAGTTTGACCTAATTAACACTTAATTAAAACATTAAAAATTGTTTTTCATTACTTTTAACAAAAAAAGTGCAGTTACTGCCACCTAGTTATATAACCACCACTAAATTTAGAGCCCAGAACAGACAAGTATGAAATTATTACAATGAAAAGGAAATGAATAGTACTAAATAGAACATGTATCACATCTGTGTACAATGACCCCACCCCACCCCACCCCCCCACAACAACTGAAATGTACGGCTGTAACTCCCCCCCCCCCGAAATTGCTCCCTACGGGCCTGGATAATAGGCATAAGAATTCCAAATACTAAATATTTTGTTGATATTTTGATATTTGAAGGTATGGTGTTCTACGAATTCAATGCACCATCTTTTTTATCAGACCTAATATTTTATCTTTTAAAAAATCAATTTTAGGCAATTTTTTCATGAAAATTACCACAGTTTCAGAAGATGTGTGGAAACACCGAACTAATATAATTAAACCATGTCATCAGTTTTAAACCCCCCAAAAATCTATAACAAGGAAATTTTAATTTTGCCCACCTCCCATATGGGCCACCTGAAATATAGCCTATTTAGTAAATTTTCCGTAAATTAAGAGTGAAATATCTAAGATAAATCATTGGGTTTTTTTAACATCCCTATTATACTGTTATGTAATCATTCCATTCAAAAAATACTCCACTTTACAGTATAAAAGAGAATGTAAAGTGGGGTATTTTTGGTATGGAACGATTATTTTGCGGGTTTTTTTTTTCCAGATTCTTCATATCATACATCATGAGGAGAGTAGCGTATCAGAAACCCTTGGCTAGCGAAGATGCATATCATATACATAATAAATAAGTGTATTCAATATATAATTTTTGACGAAATGTCCAAGAAGCTCCGAGGTTGAATATTGGGGAGGGGGTTCCTGTTCACAAGTTTAAATGTATGATCACTGTAAATTACAGTCTGTAACAGCGCGGTAAGGTCTCCGGCACAGCGCCGCAAGAGCTCCGTTGGCGCGCTCAAATGAAGCTCATGATCGCAGTGTGAACGCAGTGGTATAGTCGACGGCACTTGCACAGAGACCTCTCAGAGTCATTTGGGATGGTACTGCGTCGAAAGAACATCTTGTGCACGCAGTCAGCGCATTGTACATATGACATGAACGCGAAGTGACAAGTCCTTCTAGCACGTTAAGAGTATTACCATAGGAACCGGGGGGCGGGCGCCCCCCCCCCCCCCAATAATTTTGCCGATATATAGATTAATTATACTATAGAAAACATAGGTACTATATACTTGTGCCCCCTCAATAAAAACGTCTGATGACGTTTTTACGAGTTGATGGTATCAACTCATGTTATGTGACTTGTAAGGGATTCCCCAATGTATCGAAACTAATCACATTTTCATTTGAGTATTTTGCGTACAGGTTCTTGTATAATATTGGTTTATTTACCGTTTTCATAATCTACAGAACAAGAATATGTTTCCTGATATGCTTTAAAGTGTTTATAAACATAAATATTTATTATCAATTTTATTGGAATTTGTGTCCATCCGCGAAAGAAAATAGTGTTAGGGGCATGCGGTCAACAAAAGTGACATGTCGTGCAAACAAAGTTTTGATTTATAAATCAATAAATGTTTTATATAATAAGAAGTATTTTGAAAACAGATTTTTAAAGAAAATTCACAAAATTGAACATTTACAAACCAGGTTATTTTTAAAAGATTGACGTGCTGGTGGTATATAAATAAAGTAATTCTTGCTCTGTTATGCTAATGAACAGAGCAGTTTTTCCGCGTTAGTGATGAATCGTTCAACACAGAGAACACTTCCTATATTTGTAAACAAGGCGAGAAGTATGCAGTAAGGAAGGTCGAAGTAAATCAGCTACTAATCTCAAACGGAAGAAATGAGCTGTACTAGTTGAAAAAACAATTTTAAAATTAAAGTTCTTATTTCTTGTGCAAGCAATAAAATATTTCGATTGCTTAAAGGGTCAGATTTTTTCAGCAGCGGACAACTTTGTGCTCCAATTTCTTTTTCCCTGTTAAAAACAATGTTGAGAATTCCTGTCTTCCACAATCTAGATCTGTTTCACAGCAAGCTTTAAATACAGCAATGGTCACTTAACACGCCTATGATTCTTATCTCAATTGTTGGCACTACACTGGAAAGTGGTTTTCTTTAATATGTCCAGCTGTGTTTTGCTACCAGATGCTGGCCATGTTATAAAGTGAATTAATAGTACTGAAGGCGATAAATAAAAACAAAAAATTAAGTGGGATGTTATTGATAAATTAAATGTGAAATGCATATTTATAAATGTGAAATGATCAAGAAATCAAATTAATTCAATAGTAGATAGATCATGTAAATAGTCAATATCATGTCATTGTGATGAATTTAAAGTCTTAAGTCGAAAAGCCGAACGAATTTTTAAATATATACATGTATCAATGAAAGTCAAGTAGTTGAATTTCAAGAAAGGCTAAACCGAGAGAAATGATATATAAAATGTGCATGTCAATTAAAGTCAAGTAGTTATATTTCAGGAGTGACTAAACTAACCGAAATAACATATAAAATGCTCATTTCAATTAAATGTCAAGAAGTTGAATTCCAAGAGTAGCGTAATCAAGAATATTATTGTGAATGATCATAAAAGACAGGGGGCTGAATATCAAGAGTGGCTAAATCAAAAGATTTGAAATATCATATGTGCATGTAAATTTTGAAAAAAGGAGTTGAATTTCAATAGTAACTAAATCAAGAAAATTGAATTATGAAATCTACATATAAATGAATTGGAACATATTGATGTGCATTGAAAATGTCAAATTGTTTGTCAGTTTAAGAAAGCAGTGAAAATATTCAATAAGCATGTTAATAAAATAATTCAATTTGCGCTATTTGTAAATAATAATTCCCTATTTGTAATACTATAGTAGGTTTGACCTATTAGTTTTAGATATGTGTGTTTAAGGCTTTTTCTTTTTCTTTCTTTCTTTCTTTCTTTCTTTTTTTTTTTTTTTTTTTTTTTTTTTTTTTTTTTGTCTATTTAGGAGTTGTTTTAATACTGTTATATGATTTTACAACAGTTGTGCCATTTGTCCCTATTTGAAATTTCTAGTCATTTGATATATAATATTTCTGTCAAATGACATCGAGTGACCAAAAATTGTTCTCGGTAGTTTTAATGATGATAGTCTGTGCTCTGTGACCATTTCAATGATGGTATCCTTTAATATTTTGTAAAAATACGAATTACTTTAAATGCAAGCTACATTGCCATTTTATGAAAAATCCCAAAACTAGCTAGTATTATTTGTTTTCTATGTTTAAGGGTTCGATTTGTGATAAATTATCATACATTCCAGTAAATATTAAAGAACAAAAATAAATATACATGTTAAAAATACATGTTGCAAAAGGTGTAAATAAAATGATATAATTTTATTTCTCAAAGAAAACAAAAAGAAAAGATTTTAAAGTGATAGCTTTCATCATTGAACATAATATCACATATCCATATATGGACTAGAGACCTCAACTCATTTAAGAGGGCTGGGTGGTCGTGGCCATTTTTAGACTATATTGATCTCCTTTAAAAGAAGAGCTCCATATAAAGATATACAAAAATGATCAAATTTTAAAACTAAAATGTATGAATTTTTTCTTTGCCAAATGATAGTTGACAGCTTAAGATATCATATCTAAAAAAATAAGTTATATCTGATGGTTAATTTGTTGACCCCCAGCCTCCTTAAACATTATATAATCAATACCATCAACTCGTAGTAGTACTTTCAGTACTTTGATTGTTTGTTTGTTTGTTTGTCAAGGAATTTTTAGTAGTTGATAGTGCCCCCAACTGAAAATGTATGACTGTGCCCCCCTCCCCCCCCCCCAACTGGAATTGCTTCCTAGGGGCCTGAAGAGCACTGATGCAGGTAATCGTCAGTAAGAACTCCGTAGAAACGCAGTAGCATGCCGCGTGAGCTCCGAAAGGCCTCGGTCGCCGTGACATAATGATTTGTCATTCCACGGTGATCCCAGAAATTTAAGACCGCCTCGCCAACTCTGTGGAACAGCAGCCCTAGTGTGACAGGAGCTGTAAAATAGACAGAATTCCAGCGTTTCTTTATGATGTCAGTTGAGACATCGGAATACATAATAAATCCAAGAAAAATCACAGTGGTCAGTGATAAATATGAAAAATATTCAAACACATAGAGACACAGAGAACGAGTAAAACCACAGGCTTTTGGATCGCTTAAATCAGACTTTTAAAAAATG